TCCCCACATTGTCAGGGTACAAATCACCCACAGCAGCCCTTGTAAAAGGACTCAAAGTGCATGTTAAACACAAGCACTACAGGAGTCATTCTTTTTCTTCCAGCTTTTTAATGTGACAGAGAGAACAAAAACAAAGTCCATTGGAACAGATGCAATTTTCAGTGACAGCCAGACACAGATCAAATAAAAAAAAAGAATGGTTTCAAATGAACAAAAGGAACCAAGGGACTGGAATTGACTATTTCGCACACAGAGTCGAGAGAACATCTAAAAGAAACATTTCATTAAATTCATGACACTGGGTGTTATTTACAGTGGAACTTGCAGTGTGTGTACATTTATACAGCACTAGCGTCACATACAGCAAAGAAATTCCTCTCATTTTGTTTCCTTCACAGTTCCCAGGCTTGATTCTTCCTAAAAGCAGCATTTGCTAATACAAGGGTGAGAAACTGAGGGAGAAACTTGCTGGAAATATAACGTATGTGGCTCAAATCTACATAAACCTAAAAATATACTCTCCAGTTTTGTGTGTACTTTGGAAAGTCAAAGGACATAAGCAGGGGATATAAATGGATCTCAGGTCTCCTCAACAATATCAGAGTATACTCTGTTGTTGGAGATCTCAGAGCAGGACCTGGAAGAGACCTGCATGTCTGCAGAAAGCTCAGCTCCATGCAGCCTGGTGCTGTGCCCCTTTGTAAGCCCAGCCTTGGAGCTGGACTCCTTAGTGCCCCTCTCCAGCATTGCTGAAGGACATTGGGCTGCCTGCCCAGTGTGCAGAACATCTGGCTCTGGATAGGGGTTTTCCAAGTGTGACCCTTTCCTTAGTCCAAAAGATCCATACATGGCTGGTTGTAGGTCACAGCATTTCAAAGGGATGAGGATCATATGGGCAAGCAGGGGATCACTCCACCCAGCCCCAAGCTGCAGCCACCACCAGCAGGACATAGCAGAGCCAAAGGCAGTGGCAGGAGCTGTTCTGCACAACTGAAGTCAAGGAATAGGCATACAACAACTAGATAGGTCAACAGGGAATGTAAGGAGGCAGAACTCTTACCACGATATCACTGGTCTTTTGTAGCAATATCAGCAGTGCTCTAAAAGGCTGTTTCTGCATGCTCAGAAGCTCAGTGATGAATTCCTCCTGCGAGCTGCTCTGCACTGCTGTACAGAAGAAGACACTCTCAGGGCAGGTTGGGTCAAGTTCCCTGCAACCACCTTTCCCACGCCATGGAGTCCCTGGCTGAGTGGCTGGGCTGGTGTGCCACGCACGCACAAAGAGGGCCAGCTGTCCTCTAGAATAGGTCTTTGGGATTTAAGGCAAGTCCCTTGTCTTGGTCCTCTGTGCCCCTGTTGCAGTCAAGTTCAGGAATCCAAGGAAATAGTGCTCTGCAGGGATCATCAGTGGACCCATGGTCGGGAGTTTTCCTCTTCTCCGTGGATGGTCCAGTCTATCAAAACTCCAAGACAAAGAGACTGTTCACTGTGGCAAACGTAGGCAGGGGAACCACTGGAGGAGGTGTGCTGGCCCTTGCACTGGAGGGGAAATGCTGATTTTACAGCAGAAACAAAGCTGAGCCACCAGAGGAGGTCTCTGATGAGGTGTCTCCCCCTGCACAGTGTTCCAGGGCTCTGTGGCTCAGGCTCAGCCCAGCAGGTAGCTCACAACTTGAAAGTGAGACCCAAACCAAAACACAAACAGTGCTGAGGGGACTGCACCCATCAACCATTTTGCTCTGGAGAGCAGCAGTGTGAAAACTACGCTGACCTCCACCAGGACAAGGACAAGAAACAGCCACGTCAGGTCCATCAGCTGAGCCTCGTCCACGCTGGCGTTGGGTGGGAGACGTCGGCCCAGGCATCCCAAAGGCAAACGCCTGGGCTGGGAGCCTTGCCCTGGATTTCTCTGTGATGGAAGGAGGGGAGCAGGGCTACCCAGGGCAATCCATCTCCTTCTCAGCACGGTGCCTGAGTGGTCACAGATATTGCCTGTGCCTTTCAGCTGAGAATAATGGGAACCTGGGGCGGTGAGGTCAGATGCAGACATCTAACTCGGGGGTGTCTCACACTAGGACGTATGGTTTCCCTCACCTTGGCCTTTCTCCCTTCTCTGCTCATTGTTGTCCCTTCCCAGGCCCTTTCCTATTAGGTCATGAACTCCCATGTCCAGTCTGGGTTTAGGAATCTTCTCACAACACATGTGCATTGTCCCCTAGCCCTCAGGTGACTGACATGCACTTTAGGGGTGCAAAGAGTTTCTAAAGTCACAAGAGTAGCCTGGGTGACATTGACAGCAAGATCCTATTCCTCTCTACCCCATCCCAGCTAATCTCTCAAACACGAAGTTCAGCAGCCTGTGAAAGAGCCATTCTGTAAAGAGGAAAGGTTTCTGAGATTGGGTAATATTTCCTACTATTACCTTGCCATTTCTATTTCCTAAAGACCTCAATTTCTTCCTTCTCTGAAAATTAACAGAGAAGTTTTACAAAATAAATGATGCCATCAGTGTCATGGTAGTGTCAATGGAGAACATAAATAGTCAGGTTTGCTGTCAGAGCGTTGGATGATATCTAAGAGTGCTTCAGAAAATGAATAGAGGCAACTTCTAACTCCACAGAGCAGCACAACAGAATAGTCCAGAAAATGAAATATTTTTTCCCTCCGAGCTGCAGTGTAGTAATTGACATGCACAGCCCAACAAAATGAAAGAAACTAAAGACCACGATGGTGACCTCTTGTGTTGAAATACATATTTAGCTGCTTCTCACCATGCAAAAGAACCAGACATTCTTAGAGAAAAAGAAAAACCAAAAACAAAACCACCAAAAAAACCCCACCACATTCTGGGCTGTGATTCTCAACAGAAGCTGTGAACTGTTGCCAAAGGATGTAATTACATTCACTCCTACCTTAGAGTAGGAATACCTTGCCGTTTTGAAGACAAATCCAAAAAAGGTCCTAAGCTACCCATAAGATGAAGAAATGAGGCCTAATAAGCTCAGCTATTACAGCAGCATGTGGTTTCATCAATCTCCTGACCCTCAGGATAAATCTCCAGTATCCCCAATAGCCCATTGTAGCCTAGCTGCTCCGTAAGTGTTTATCCCTGATCGACTTAACGATAAAAATGATGCTCATTAGAGGGTTTTGCCTCATGGGCAAGGATTTGCTGCTTGGGATCTAAGCACACTCTGTGTCCTTCAGCTGCCCTCTGCAGCAGCACTGACTGACTCCCACAATTGAGTGGGGCTGGCCCTGGTGTCAGTGCTTAGAGTATTTGACCATGTCCAGCTGAAGGTCAAGGTGTTAGGCTTCAGTCTTGATGGATTTCAGCTTTTTTTCTGTGTTTTTCTTTAAAAACAAACAAAAAAAAAGAGCAATCCAAAAAAAAAAGAAAAAAAGGTAAATAGGAAGATCGTTTGTAAAAGTACAAAAGACTATTTTATGGCACAGAACATCCTGGTGAGGCAAATTCCCTGCATTATGTGCCAGTCTCTGATTAATTTTGGTCTATCACTGACCTTACTGAAAAGGTCTAACTAGTGCTATCTACTCAACTGTGAATGTTGGTGGCATCTTCAACAGTGTGTGTTTCCTTCTTGATTCCCAAGAAAATACATCCCAAAATATACAACTCACTTTGCTCCTAGGTGCAACAGGATTTAAATCATGTGATAAAAAGGGCCTGGGAGTTTCAAAATTGGTCTTTATAGGATATTAAACTTAACTGTGCCGCGTAACGGAGAATTTAATGTTCTGTACAGTGAGAGCTTGCTGTGTGCATTCCCTGTGTAACAAGTTAAATGGCTTTAAGTAACTGTGCTTACAGTGTTTCAGTGAGACCCAAGTATATAAGAAAACCAAGCATCATATTCTTTAAATAATATGGCTAAAATGCTGGTAAATTCACAGTTACCATACTTCAGGTATTCGACAAAAAGTCTCCTATTTACACTGGATAATATGTACACATTTGGTTTGTGGAGTGCTCCAACATCAGATCCATTTCTCCTCTGTGAAAGTTGCAGGAAAAAAAAAAAAATCTTAATCATCCTAGAACTATATATTCCCAGCCATCAATACATTTCAATATTTCATGTCTGGATATAAAGAATGAGGTGTCACTAAGTTGTTCGTGACTCCAGATAATCTTGAATTAGTGGTATTAGTTCTTAGTGTCTCTCAAGATCTTCTTAAGGGTGCAGAAGTTAAAAAAAAGTAAATTTTGGTAGCTGCTAACTTCAAGGTGTGCAAGTATGTTTACAAGTATGTGTAAATACATATATATATATATATAAAACTATGTATATATTTCTCTCCCAGACCAAGAAGGTGCCTAGTGATTCTCTATGCTCAAGTGAAGACACTAAAGGGCTTTGAGACCCTGATTCCTCTGAAAGAGCTGAGCACCCACCCTCATATCCTCCAGAAATCAGGACTGACTCACTCTTCCAGGCAGATCAGCTGGTAACCCCAAAATGAAGCCAGCTAGGGTCACTAGTCCCACTTGTAGCTCTTGTCCCTCTTGCTGGAGCTCACCTACCCTAGGTTTGTTACCTGCCACCCGTCGTGTCTGAGCACAGCTGAGAGGAACCACCAAGGAGTGCTGGGCAGGGCAGGGAGCATCTCACAGCTCAGCAAAGGTGTCACGGGGTCAGGATCTGTCCTCCTGCCCGACGCACACATGCAGGAAGCTTCTGTTCATGTCCTGTGCCATTGCACTGGGGTGGAGAGGGGAAGGGGGGACTCCCAGTGTAGGCAAGATTAAACCCAAGCTCTGCAGGTGGTGTGTGTGGTAGCTGCATGCACCAGGCGTGGCTGTAAAAGGGTCAGAATCTAGAGGGTTCATTTTTATCCCTTTGGGCTCTTCTTTCCCTCTGCCCTCTCACTTTGAGGTATCAAGAACAGTACAGAAATGGAGATTTTGATTTTTCCAAACATGGCTCTTTTTTGTTCTTCTTCTCCACCTGCCCCCCGACCCCCTTGGCCTCAGTTGCTCACATCAGGACCTGTTCTCGAGTCTCTGGCAGGCGCAAAGCGAGCAGGCCACCTCCCACCAGAGCAGAGGAAGCCAGAAGGATGGGAACCACCTTGGTTATCCCTACAAAGGAGGAAAAGATTGAGTTCCCCAGGATGGCACCAAACTTGCAAAGCCCATTGAGGATGCCAAAGGCCGTTGCCCTGTGGGGAAAAGAAAAGCAGAAAGCAATGGTTAGGAGGGAGGTTCTTGGCATAGCTACAGAAGATCTGGATGGGTAATTTTGTGAATGCTCTTGTGTTGCCCAGGCTATGCTTCTGGCAAATAAAGCTAGGCAGAATAAATAGATAAATACAGACTAGACTTTTGCATGTCTGTGTGAATGAGGAGAATGACTGTGCATACTCATTTCTCCTTTTCATCTCAGCTTCTCCCTAGCCCTAGAGTTGGCCATTAGGACAGCCTTTGCCCTTGCCAAAGATAGCAGAACACAACCTGCTCTAGAATTTGTCAAAGCCCTTCCAAGCACTGGCTGGGTAGGCTGTCACCAGAGAAACAACCTCCAAATTCTGCTTAACCCAGCACCTAACAACATGCTGCCTTCAAGCACAGTTCTTCTCCTTCCCTTCTGGCTTCCCCCAACAGCCTGAAAAGGGCAAAAAAAGGCTTATAATGATGTCATAGAATCCCTATGGTTGGAAAGGAACTCTAGGATCATCAAGTCCAACCTTCGTCCCAACATTTCACTAGACCATAGGCTCAAGTGCTACCTCTACTCGTTTTTTAAAGGAAAGATTTAATCTACAGCATATTCTCCCAAAATTTCCTGTGCTGCCTCATCTCCCAAACCGTTCTGTGCACGTGGCTGTCTCCAGGTTGTGGAGGTGAAGGTTGGCACGGTGATGAGCTACAAGAAGAGGCTGGGGGATGCAGTCTCAAAGGCCAGACCTCCATGCACATCCATGGAAATCACAGTCTCTCATCATTTCCATGCCTGTAATTTCCACACCCTTACATGACTCCCTGCAATCAAGCCACCATGCATGCAGAATTATCCTTGCTGATCCAAAATACCCAACTCTTAAGGACTGGTGAAAACAAAACAAAACAAAACTACACCTCTAGAGCGAGCACTGACTTTTTCCATAGGGGAACGAGTGGCCCAAGTCAGAGGGAGGGGACTAAAGAGGGACATATTCTGAGCACCTTTTGTCAGTAGGGTAGAGCTCCACGGTAATGACGTCCAGGGCATTCCAGGCAGCAATGCTGGCCCCACAGAAGAGACACTGCCAGCCGATCATCGCCGACTCGCTGTTCCCAAAAAAGAGAAAGAAGCAGCACACCGCCGAGATCAACATTGAGCCACCTGCAGGGGGGAAAATAAGAGAAAAAAATTGGCACTAGTTTCCCCTGTCCACAGCTGAGCAAACACATTTGTTGATAAAGATGGCTCCCAAGTGACAGCGTTCCACCCCAACACAAAATAAATTTGCCAGAACCCAAAAATACCTTGATGCTGCCTATCTGTTCTTCTCTGATGCTGGAAACCAGCCTGAAAATGTTCTCAATGACCATCTGAGCTTGCTGATAGACCTGCTCTGCAGAGACTCTGAAGATAGGCTTTTCCAGGCAGGTTTCCAGCATCTCTGACTTCCAGATGGACCCAGGAAGAGCAGAGGCAAGTAAACATTAAAGTCAACGAGGAGGAAGAATCATGGTGAAGGTTTTCCAGATTGAGTTTTGAGTGAAGAACTGGTACATTTCGTATCATATTGAAAACACTTGACACATTTATAGTCTCAATTAGGATAATTTAAAGTCAATTGCACGGAGCACTTGAGGTCTCTTTTAATTATAAGAACATCATGAGATTTCATGGCACATTTGCACAGGAGTCATAATTTTAGGAACACCACCAAGGGAGAAAGTGAAAGCATTCATGCTTAGTTAGGCAGAGTTCAGATTCATAAAAATTACTGGCTACATCACTGCCTTCTACCCCACTGGGAGTTTTCACCTGAAAGATGCAATTTTTGCAAAATCAAAGTATCTTTGGTTGGAAAGTTCTGCTGTTGCTGACATATCTCTATTTACTACCAGGAAACCAAAACAATTTTTTTTTTTTGTTTGCTTGGGGTTTTTTGAATCAATTTGACACCATCTGAAATAATTTGGATGCTGAACTGGAACTAAAATGCTTCATTTTGGACATTAAGTTGTTTTTTTTTGCCACTGTGGTAGCCTCTATGAAAAGCAGGACTCCATATCCACTTCTCTGCCATAATCCTTGGCCAAACTACATCCCCCACTGTGCCACGTGGACATTCTGTCTGCTGAGGAGGTACAGTGCAGCATTAGGGTCACCATAAGTGCACCAAGAGATCTGACATTTGGCACAGGAGAAGGTTGAGCAGAACATGATGAAACTGAAGTCCCAGCGAGGCACACAACACGGAAGTGAAATTCAGTTTTCACATTAAGCTGACCAGAAATAATATGTTCAACAGAGTGATACGGGTGGGATGCCAGAAGGCTGTTTCAGTTCAAAATTCCATCATGAAACATTTCAGCGTGTCATTCCTAATTTTTGTCCTCTACTTTTCATTCTGCAGAAGAAATAAGCATCCAGGATTCCAGCTGTCATCTCAATTCCAAATGAAAATGCTGAAATGCTGACATGTTTGCAGGGTGGACAATCTGATTCTCATTCAGCTTTATTTCATTTCTTTCCCGCAGACCCTCTGGTTTGTTTGGGTCTTTTCCAAATTCACCACATGACCACTTTCCCCTCCCCCCAGCACACATTCCTGACACAGGGGTGGGGTCACTAACCTGTCTGATGGTGAGGCTAAGCTCCCTAAACATCCTCCTGTTCTCAGAAGAGGTAAGTGAGCTCGAGTGAGCCACTCCTTACCCCTGAGCCACATCCCTGATTTTATTAAACTCACTTGGCTGTCCCTTGAGGCATGATTCCCACAGTACCTGGAGAGTAATGTCTGAACTCTGAAGGAAGCAACACCAAAACATAGAGCTGATAAGGTGATAACTTATTCCCACAATGCTAAAGGGTGGCAAGCATCTCACTTGGTTGTTACATGGCCAGTTATTCTACCATATGCTCTCTAAAGATGCCTGTAAAACCATTTGAAAATCAGAAAACCAAAAGAGGCAACTCCTGGGCTGTCAAGTATCCGCATCAAACCATCTCTGTGAATATTATTTGCTACAAGCAAAGTGTTTGTTTGTTTATTTATTTATACAGCGGTCTACGAACATCAGCATCAACTCCACAGCACCAAAAGGTCCTGCTTCAGCTCTGCCCCTGTTGTGCTGAGCACAACCTGTGCCATGCACCCACCATCCCCACTCACCAATCATCTTTATCCTCCCTATTTTGTCCATGAGTAACGCAGAGATGATGTTGCCTGGCAGCACAGACAGGCTGCCCAGGAAGCTGACCAGGTAGATGAGGAAATCGTTGTCCTCCTCGAAGTCTATGTGACAGCCTTCCTTCTCCTTCATAAACGTGCTGTTTATGAGCCTGCAGTTGATGAATTTGTGTTCATAGAGATCTGCAAAGGAAAGAGGCAAAGATCTTGGTCCTGTTGGGCTGATGCCCCTTCATACAGCAGTGACAGGAGCCAGGATCAAAACCAAGTCAAAGATCTGAGAGGTGTCCCTCACCGAATGGAAATAGTCAGGGAGTTACTTAGTGGCAAAACCCAGCTGCATGCTTGGCACACGGTGGGTGTAAGCTCATGCTCTCCCTGTATCTGTGGAGTCAACTGGACCAGTATCACCATGGCACAAAGCCAGGCAATGCCACAAGGCCAGGCAATGCAGGCTCTGGCTTCCATGGCCTTCTGGTTCTCTATTACAGTAGAGGTGAAAAGCTTTTTCAAGATAAATGAATATGTATTTTACTGCTTACAGTCATCAACCACAGAATGTTTAAAATCCTATATCAAGCCAAATTTATTGAATCAGGCTGTTAAACTGCCAGGCATTTTGGCATTAGTTTAGCCTGCCAAGGTTTGAGCACAGATTTTTGCATTTGCTATGCAATAGCCAACAACACCAGAAGCCATGTGGTTAAAAACACTGGTGGAGCAACCTGAGAAGCCTCCTTCCGAATGCATCACTTTTTTTCCATCATCACTCTCATTACCCACCACACACAAAAACACACAGATCCCTATCATCCTTTCTCCCAGAATCTGATAAAACACCTCCTAATTACAGAGATGAGGCCGTAGCGGGAATCCCATTACCAGTGTTATAGAAGACAGTAGAGATGATGGTGCAGTTTTCAAAGAAGGTCTCACTGGATGTCACATCTTCAAAGTAGCAATCCTCAAATAATGAATCCTCAAATCTCACTTCCTTGAATTTCATGCCAATAAATCTGTGGGGCAGGAAACAGAACTTCACTTTGTGCTTTGAGGTATTTTCTATCCTATGTAGCCTGCCATGGCTGTTTCAAGAGACAGAGCTCTAATGGCAATTTCTAGGGACATTCACAGGAAAGGCGTTCCTTGAATGCATAACTGTCCTTCCAACTTCAGCCTTACATATTTTGTATTTTAGTAGGAAAGAAGGGTTTGAAGGTTTTGTGTTTTTTAAAGAGAGATGGGCTTTTTAGGAATATTAGCAGTTTTTCTACTCCCCAAAATAGTTACATTTACGAAAATGTGCTTCCAAGGCTGAGCGGACACAGTTCCTTTCATGTTCAGTGCTAGTCCATCTGAAGAAGCCATAATTTCACTCAGTGCATGACATTTCCTTTCTGAGCCGACCTTGCTGCCTTCCTTATTGTGCCCTTTCCTCCAGCATAAATAAAACTAGACATTATCAGGAGCCCACTGAGCCATTTGGTGAAAGGCTTCTGACAAGTTGTTTAAACTCAAAGTGATTTTTTAAGAAAAAAATATGCCAGGGTTTCTAAGAGAATGGGGAGATATCTGAACTCTGCTTGCAACCATCTCTATTTGAGGACTATTACTTATCATGTAATGAAAACAGATTACACCAAAAATAATCAGCTGTGTCAGGCGATTGGTTTCTCCTCTGATGGGAAGCTTGACATGTCTGACCTGCCTGCCTGCAGGATGACACAATATTGATTTACCTGTGAAACTGTGCAGGGACACTGAGAAGATGTATTTGTTAATGCACAGGCATGCTTGGAAGATGTAAGGAGCTATTAAGAACAAGGATTATTGCTCTATTTACAGAGGCCACGACTGCCACCACATGAAAAGCCTCCTAGCATAGCCCCAGAAAGTTAATTGAATGGAGCACTTATGCCACAGTCTAGCACAATGGCTGTTTACACCATTAAACAAGCACTGCAGGCCTTCTTAACTGAAGCTACTAACAGATGTTATTAATGCAGAAAATGCCACCAGAAGACTATTCAAGTCTTTCACTCCATGTAGAAGGTCTTATAGGTTACAGCAAAACTTAAGCTGTTTTGCTTTTGCTCAGTAATAGCCTGTGATGTATTTACTTTCCAAAGGCTGCTAGAAGCCCTTTTCCTGCAGTTTGCTTTCTTAACATTGATCCTTAAAAGTCATACAGCAGTGGACTGGTGTTCAGTGGAGTTCTAACACACAGCCAAGGGCTGGAGGGAAAACACAGCTATAAATCATATTGAGAGATGCTCTGGGCATACATCATAGTTTCATGTCTTCATCCTGCAAGGTGCTGAGCATCCTCAATTCTCAAAGAAGGTAGTGAAAACTGAGCATCTTTCCTGGGCATAATGGTCCCAAATCCTTGAATTTGACCACCATCTACTTCTCACCAGGCACTGTTTGGCTGCTCGATAGGCAAGGGAGTAGGAATTATGGGGCTAGGTTTGCACCATCACGCACAGCTTGTTGCTGCAGAGAAGGTCTCTGAGAGGACATGGGGACACATGCTGGGGTCCTCCACCAACATCTATATCAGATGTATGCTGAGGAAGTGGAGACAACTAGTTTCGGATGTGAGAGGAACAACCTGGCTGGGTATTTATGCATGATTTCAGCTGTGAAGACCAAAACAATGAGTTTTTTTTGGGTAACATTGAACATCCAGTAGGACCTCCCCACACAGTGCAAGGCAGCTGAAGCAACACCCCATCTAGCCTATGGGAAGTAACAGGATCTCCACAAAATTTACATATGGGTACTTTTCCACCCATTTTATTGGGATTTAGAAAAGTAATAATAGATTTATATTGCTGTGGAACATAGGGTGATTGAGGTCCGTGCTGGATGCAGAAGGAAAACCACAAGGCCCAGCCCAAATGGGAGAAGAAAGGGAAAAAAAAACCCAATGATGTTCTGCTAGAGTGACTTCACTGACTTCAAAGCACCAAAAGAGAAGCTGGCAGAGTCGTTCTGGGGGAAGATGCCAGCCCGTGTGGGACAGTCACATCAGGCTATGGCAGAGCTCACATCTATGGGCTGCAGGTTGGAGATCTGGCTAAGTCATATGGAGGACTTCAAGGGAAAAGAGCCTTTTATTTTGGAAATGAAGCAGCAGGACAACTCGATTCCAAGTGACTGACTCTGCTGCTCAAGACCAGTAGATGTCAGTGTGTGCTAAGGAACTAGCAGCCACCTCTGTCTCCATTGCTGTCCAGTCCTGCCAGGTGGGAGGCAAGAACCTCACAGGCATCCCCTTGGGTCTGAAGATGGGAATAGCTGAGGCAGAGTGCGTGAAAAATAGGATATAAAGGATATTTGGTCTGTGGAAAAGTGCCTTGAGGGTTTGAGAGACACAGAATGTCCAAAACAACTTGTCAAGTTGGTGGAAAAAGAAAAAAAAAAAAGTGTTTTCTAGAAATGTTTTTCAGTTCAGTGACATTGAACCGAGTTCTGTTGACTTACTTATCATTCCTGTATTCCCCATTTCTATGGATCTGGTTTTCCAGGGTGAAATTAAAAGTGAAGTGTGACACTTCTTCCTCATCAAAGATCTTCACTCGGGATTCGTACGCCTCGTCTTGGAGATAACGGATCATATCAGGGAACCAGACAATAAGGCCATAGTAACTACAGCAGGATGGGAGAAATACATTAGAGAAGCAAGATTCCAGCACTGCAAGTACCACGGTGTTTTTCCAGTCATCTACTTCATAATCTGCAAACTCGTTCCACTCCTAATGCAAATGCATCTCTCCTACAACTTCTTGCTTGGACACAGGACTGAGCCAAGTGTCTCCTTGTTTTAAATATCCAGGTGCTCTCACAAACATAATAATCCATTTTTGTTCACTTAAAATCAGGACAAGTCATTTATATTTCAGCGACAGTGACTCCTTGGCTGGATAATACAGCAATGTGCTGTCCTTTCCTTTCAAAGAAATTTCAGTGCTCTCCCAGAAGGCAGATTTCTGCAAGGGTGACGTTTAAGTGAGAGTTAGGCAAAATTTACCTGTAGTTTAGCTACATGGTCACCTGAATAGTTTTTATATAGATTAAGGAACAGTTGAGAAGTGGGTAGGGTTGTGAGTTTTTTTTTGTGTGGATAAACTCAAATGAAAGATCTAGAGGTGAGCAAGTCAATATACTACTGCCCTACTGACCAGTTTTCAAGCCCTGATTTGTTCAAAGGACTTGTACCCTCATATAAGCAAACAGATTGATCAAGAGCATGTAGGAGAGCAAGGCTTAGCACACAAAACCTCCTTATAATAAAACCATGATTAATTCTGCAATAGTTTATTTAAATGTGTAAATAATTATTCAGCCTCTGAGTGCCCTCTATTTTCCTAGAGAAGTTAAAGTACTGTACCTTAAGGCCATTGTAAACCAAACCACAGCCAGCATCAATGTGTTCATCCTGTACTGGGCTGTTAAACAATATAGCACGTTGTCCCAGACCTACAAAACCACAAGAAGGAATGAGCTGCAAAGACACCCTAGCAGACACTTGACAGATTAATTTCCGAGTGCATGACAAATTTCATGTCACTAAAAAGAGTTCACTGGGGGAAGGTCAGATGTGTGGCTTGTATGCAGTGTTTGTTCAAGATTAAATTTATTGAAATAAATGGTTTACAAGAAGATCACTTCTTCAGCTGCGTGCCAGGGTGCTTGAACTGAGCCCTCTGTCATTAGCTAGTGCATGACTAGGGCTGGGCTGATGCTCTGTCTCTCTCAGTTTATATCAGAAAATATGGTTATGAGCCTGTTCTCAGACCCTCTGACAATTTTGTCTTTTAAAATATATGTATGGTCTCAGGGGTGCTTTCAAACTGAGCTCCAAAACTCACTGAAGAGCAAACCCCCAAACACAGCTGGCACTTTAGGAGGGGTAGGATGAACTCAGGCAGGGATGAAGCTGAGCAGAGCAGGAGTCAGACTAAGATCTGCTCTTCTAGACCTGTTGCAGACAATACTGCCAGCAACATGAGGGGTTGTAAGACCTGATGTTCTTAATTTGCCAAATAAATACAATAATAGTATAGCACCTGCACTGCTGTTAAAGACTCTCCTTAATTTTAAGCTCCTCCTCTTACACTAGAAGATCTACCAAGATTTTCCACAAAGTTTGGCATGGGCAGAGGTAAGTAGCATAGCATGTGTCCAAGGTTAAATTAGCCAAAGAGAATATAACTGTTCCAAACTCAGTCACAGCAGGAACAAGGAGCAGTCTGAGCCCACTGCGAGTGGTAAATTCACTTAGGATTGGGGGAGAGGGAATCAATATTTCTCTGCTCAGAGGGAGAAACAAGTGCTTGGGGCTGTGGCTTGTCCTGGAAGCTCTGCACAGCCATGATGCTCCCAGGGGCATCTGGGGGCCTGGCTGGCAGTGTGGCAGTCTGCAGATGCACACATCTGCCTCAAAAGCACAACCAAATCACAGCCCTTTGCTAACACCAGCTGATTTTTTTTTTTTGAATGAGAGTCAGGGTTTCAATATACAGTGACCTGAAGAAATGAGCTGCTGGAGCCCAAAGCTCAGAAGAAGCCCCTGTGGGATGTTTTCTTCTCTTTACCTGTTTCAAAACAGTTGTGATTCTGACCAGCCACCGCTGGTACCAGGTCCCTGTTGAACTCTGAATTTCAATAAATTCATCTACTTGCTTTGGAGTTTTGATATAGGAAACCTGGGAGGGGAAAAAAAGGAGAAAAAAAAACTAATGAAGTTTCTAGGCTTGATCTTGCATGGATTTTAAATTCCATTGTCTACTGAGCACCATTTCCACCTAATATCCCTTACTATCTTTTCCCTGAACATTATCACTAACAATTGAGCTAACTGATTAAATCACAGCAGGAGATTTTATTATAGAAAGAAGCCTGCCCTCCTCCTTTCCTTTCATCCATCTCTCCCTCCATCCTTTTTCTCCCTCTCCTTCCATGAAATATTTTAAGTGCATCACATCCACTTGATTCTTTCATTTGTTGGGTAATGTGCCTGTGTACTGCCTTATTTCTCTATTCCTTAGATTTCAGCTAGAAATTAGGACTAGGCAATTATAGTAAAAATCATCTCCAAGATCAACCACTTGTATCTGCATCAAACTGTGCCCTCAGGATCTCTTTCTTCAAAGACAGCTGGCAGGAATGTTTCTCATTCAGCACCTCTTAAGCACCACTGGCAGAACCTCTATGACACATGAATGTGTAGATGGGAATCTTTGCATCAGAAAACACATCCTGTCATCAAGTGAGCCCAAACCATGCAATCTGTTTGCTTCACCAAAACAGCCTGAATTTTCAACCCTGAACACCTGAACTGCACTGCTCAAGAAACCTTAAAAATGGGTCCCAGGAAATATTTGCTCAGTAGTGTTAAATAAAGGACATATTCAAGGAAACCAGATCTGTTTGTAAACATGAGAAGGAGGTGGAAATTTACGGAATAAATTGGAGTATGAATGAGCATTTGGGCTCAGCTGTGGAGTCTGGGTTCCTCTTGCTGGCACCCCTTAAATGTCAGATCTGGGAAGTGTCCTGGTACCAGGTGACTCACCACAAACTGGCTACTTCTGGCCTATCAGAGAAACACTAAATCTGACAGTCTGTGCTACACCAGCCACAGAAATCATCCACCTGTGCCAATGGATGTCAGTAAATGTTGGTTCAGCTGGTGTCCCATACCTTGAGCTGCCATACTGAGACCAGCTCTTGCCATAGCAGTCATGACACTGTTGGATGGAGTAGTGAGCACCAATGGGTGCTGTACAGATGCTCCTTCAGTCTCCTGTTCAGCTCTCATAGTGCCCTACTTTATAGATTTATATAATTTTTGGGTTTTAGTCCTCTTTTCCTCCTAGCACACAGCAGGACTGGCCATCCCAACTCCGTGTTACAGAAGAGCTAGGTAGGGATTTAAAGAGATGGTCTCTCTCATCTTTGCTGTCAAGGTTCATAATAGTGAAATGGTAGCCTAAAAATAACACACGCTCATTATTTTCCTACCTGAACCTGCACACAATTGTTGTGCACAGATATTCAGCTTTAATTTTCTTGAAGCATCTCTCCTGAGGGGCCCTGTTTTGTGACAGTCCTTCTGAACATGGAGCCTCCATCTCCTTGCTCAAAAGGAGATTTAAGACACAACCATATCCTCTTTCCTCCATTCTTTAAGAGCACACATCCTCTCATCATTAAAAGCATCAATCAAGAGCTGTTCCCTGGCTGGCTCACTGGGAGTTTACAACTGAATCAGAGTAATTTGTAATTTGCAATTTGCAATTAAGCCCAGCTTACACCTTTTACCTGATCTTACTGTTAAGGAAGTCCACTGATGTGACCTTTTTCACAATAAGCAGCAGACTAATGAGTAATAGCCACTCATCTCACTTCCCCTTGGAGAGATTAAAGATTGGGTATGAGGCAGGTGGAGTTTGGGAAGCTCATTAGAAGGTCTGTGAAGTTTAATCAGAGTTTGATTAGAAGCCAGAATGGAGAAAGGAGTGACTCAGATCTCCCACATGATGAATAACTCTCTTATTTGGTTTTAGTCTCTTAGAGAAGACCAATTAAGGATGTGTGTAATTAAAAAATCACTGGTCTATGTGCCTTAGAGTAAACCAGGAGCAAAGAGTACTCACTGCAATTCCCCACAAGTCCCAGAGTAGTTCTTGAAAAAAAAGAGACTGGCATCTAACTTTAAATGCACAAAATAGATCCCAGAGTCCTTTTTCTGATTCTTGGGGGAGGTTACGTTGCAAGAGTCCCAAGGAGGGATAAACTGGTGGTGTGCTGCACAAAAGTGTCCAGCTTTTTTCTTTTAACATGCTCGTGGTTTGGTTAAACTCACCGTAAACACCCTCTCTGGCTCACCCTTGGCCCGCATGTTGGTGTCATGAACTTGCTTAAGGATCATCCAGGCTTCATCATGTTTACCTATCTGAAAACACCAAAGGAAAATAAAACAAATAAAGGGTGGAGTTCCCAGCTCTGTCATTTATCAAAGTACCATGAGAAATAAACTGTAGAGTTCCAGTATAGCAGAGAAGCACACGTCCATCGCTGGCTGCACTGAACACAGAGCTGAAAGCACAGTCTGTATTCAGAGTGCAGCATCTCTGTGCTGGAAAATGGGGTTACCCTGAAACTGTCCAAGGCAGGAACAGAGCCTGAAAGCCAAATGAAGGACAAGGAGATGGATCAGGAGACCTGGGCTCTAATCTCACCTCTGCTGAGGACTTGCAGGGTTAACTTGAGCTAGGTAGTAGCACATTTCGTATCTGTGACATGGGATTAAAGAATACTTGCTTAATGTTCCTTAAGTTCATGTATTTTACTCAGTAAAATGTATTCTGTTCTTTGCTTTTCCACCAGGATCAGTAGTTACATGCCCAGACTCTAAGAGATGTTTTCAAAATGCCTTTGTCTGACTTAAAACATTCCCAGCCCTCACCACCTTCTTTCTGTACCACATTTAGCAGTGAAAAAGTAACCACTGTTGCTTGAACCCATAGTCTGCAGTCTTTGGGGTTTAAACAATCTGTGGAGCTAGTGTAGACGTGTAGGAGTGGGTTTCACCCTGAGCTTGGGCTAGGCATGTTTGATGGGACAAAAAGACAGACAGTGACACATCAGGGACCAGCTATGCTCTGCTTGGATCAGACTGCAACGTTCAGATGAATCATCTTACCTCCAGCAAAAACCGTGGGCTTTCAGGCATGAATTTCAGTGCCACCAGGGAGGCAATGCATGGCAGGGAGCAGACAAGCACAAAGACCCTCCAGCTGTGGAAGTGGTACTTCGTTCCCATGCTGAACCCCCAGCCTGGAAACAGCAAGAGCCAAAAAGTAAAAATACTGACCAGGCATTCTGAGTATTTCTGTCCTGAAGCAGCTCTGTATGACATGGGGACAGCTTGAAAGTTTGCTCTTCTTAGTAATGATGGCTCTTAGAGGCTCAAGAGCATGCTCCAGTAGTTAACAGCAAATGAGTTCATGCTCATTACAAAAAATTGAACATACTTGCTCAGTTTATGCCTTTTAAAAACCTTCTTTTATCTTTAAGCTTAGAAATCATCTGGTGATAAGAATAGCTCCACGCAGCTAGGCAAGTAAGGGTGGGAAAGGGCTGAGGAAATAATTCCAGGGCCATAATTTACTGCTGCTTGGTGATGTTGCAAAAGGCTTACAAAGGTTACACCTTCCCTGATCTGAGGCACGTTAGAGGTGGCTCCTTCCAATCTCGTACCTCACACATGTATTTCACATTTTATGGAGGCAAATGAGGAAAGCAAGTTTATTTTTTTCCAGATCTACAAAACCTGAGCTGGGATTCAAACTTGGAAGAATCAAGATCCTAATTCTGCATTTGAGATTCTCCCTATCCTGCTTTTTTTTCCCTGATATCTGACCAGGTCAGGTATTCCCTTGATAAGGACTAGAAAGCATAGCATTGTTTTTACATTGCCCTACTTACTTTCTCTAGGCTTAAATCTCAGAAGGAATGTTTAATTCTTTTTTTGTTCTATAAACATTTTTATTCACATAAAGCAATTGTTGAGCAATGGTTTTTGCAGAGGTCTCATCTGAGTGAGTCATGGTGTTCTATCCATTTCACAAAGTTCCAAAATAGTAGGTGGAACATGGGAAATCAAAATGAGAAGCTATAAAACCACAATGTCAAAAAGTCATCTGAAAAAAAAAAATACATGCAGTATAAATATATGAGGGTGTTTTTAAAGCTAATGCAGTTGCAGATAATGGGATTATTTCAACCTGACACCACCATAGTTGGCCTATTTATTCCAAGAGTCACTGCCATATCAAACATAAGCATGAACATTTGTTTATACTAAGTGTATTTTAAACATGGTAAAAATGGATTGATAGATTGGTAAATGTTAGTGTTTTTCATCACTGTCTTTGTGGCCTGTCCTACTTTCCTCAAACAGGATTTTGCAAACAGCTGGTGCCACAGAGCACTGAGGGAATTAATCTTTTCCAGTAGATATTTGCTTCTGATATTTTCCTAGGATATACACATGAGTTACAAGGAATACCATGTGACATGATGATTTTTGCTCCTCAGAGCACTAATATGTTTCAGAGTATACCCATCTACTTTTTCTCTCCCAATTCCAGCTCTGGGCACAGAACCCATCCTGTTCCTTACCCATTTAGGTGAAGTCAGATGTGACTTCAGCCCATCACATTCTGGCAAGATGTGTCACCAAACACACAGCCCCAAGAGCATTGACATTTGGCTAAGGAAAAGAGCATGTGCTGTCCTCACTGCTGTCACTCATAGCACCCAATAATTCCCCAATTAAAGTAACTTATTTTAGACAATTGCATCAATTTTGTTTCAACACCATCTCTGTCCAGTTTTCCCTGAATGCACTGACATTTTGATTAAGAGCTCAGGCTCTGGTAGCATAATTCAAAGTGTATATTGGGAGCTTTTGATGCAAAGTAGCCCTCATTAGTCCTATTTACAGGCTTATCATCAGGCAATCGATCATGCTGCAAACTTATCAGACTTTTGTGTGCACTTCAGCTATCTATTGTTTATGCTGGGGTGCATAAGGACTGACTAATGTTACCTGCACAGAGTTTTGGGGTAGTGTAGTGATGCAGGAACGTGGTGATGACAGAACACAAAAGCACAAACCAATTACCATAGTGTGGGATGATGCTCCAAGCCATTGCTGAGGCAAAAATGCCACCAATCATCCAGAACATGCAGAGCCAGCTCAGGTGTTCCCCCCTCTTCTCACGAGACAGGAATTCAGAGAAATAGGCAAACACGATGGGGAGGGATCCCCCAATACTGAGGAGAAACACAGCACAAGGGAAGAATATGAGTCTTCTTCAGTGTCTTTACACTTAGAATTGCACAGGTAAGGAGGAAAGGTGACGCTTACAGACGTAATGCACAGAAGTAAAACTTGTAGGAAAAATGCAAACCTCTGCTTGGCTGGACTTCCCTTAAATATCAAATTAAGCAAGATCCTTCTCCTGCTCTGAAAGCTAAATTTCCTGTAGTTTATATAAAGCCAGTGTAATGCCCTACTCTTCACCTGGAAATCTTCTGTTGCTATCTTGTGATCACTCATTTTAAAGAGGCAAAATACAGGCAGGCAATGGGAACTGCTGAGGGTCTCATTAGAGGCCCTGGCTGTCAGGATTGTAAACCGAGGTGGACATTCATCAGCCTCACCCTTCTGCACAGTTTGGGCAGTACCAGAAGAATATCAGTGACCCATCTTCCCTACCTCCAACGCTTTTAGGGTCAGGAGCGAGGTAAGAACAAGAAGTGCCAAACAGCGGTGCTACCCTGGCTCGGTACCAGAGATACATCTCCCAAGTAGTGTTCCCCCTCCCACCCCACACACCCAGCCTGCCAGGCTGTGATGAGACTCCTCCAGGACATGGGAGAGATCCACCCTTTACCCACCCGAGGCCTGAGATAAGGCGGCAGAAGAGGAAGAATCCGTATCCCTGGACGAAGGAGGAGAGGAACGCAAAGGCAGCGTTGATCGCGAGCGATATGATGAGGCATTTCTTTCTTCCCAGTTTATCAGCAAGGCCACCCAGCAGGACAGCCCCCACCATCATTCCTAAGTAGACTATCAAGCCTGGAAGCAAGGGAGAGATAGTGAGTTTGGTAAGCAAGTGGAAATAGCAGCCAATGTAGAAGTAGATTTCAAAGCGCCCGTATGGCAGCTGATGTCACCCAAGCATACTATGCAATAAAGTAGAGATACTCACCCCTACCCCCCCCAGTTCAGCTCTCTCAGGTGTGCTTTACCAATCACATGGCCCAGCAAAAATAATATGTCCATCAGCAGAAAACATATACAGACTTTACAATCAAATTCTAGTGAACACAGAACAGTTATGATATGGTTAACAGCAGGGGGAACAAACAGATCAATGTAACTACTCATAGTAGTTAATGCAGCCAAGAAGTGAGTAAGCCAAGCCAGAGACCCAGTAAAGGAGGAAGGAATAAGCCAAGCCAAAAGTCCAACCACCATCATGCAAAAGTCACCACAGCCTCTGCCAAGGAGATGCAGCACAAGCCACGCTACTCCTGCTCTGTCCAGCTCCCAGTCCTCTCACACCACTGCTGGGCACTCTGGTTGCAGAGGATGGCCAGGGAGCCCTTCCAGTAGCAAAGAACCCCAACACAGTACATCCACCCATATATAGACTTCCCAAACTTACTGCAAGTGGAACCAGCTCTTATACTATTAACTTCAAAGGTGGGACACCTGGTGTTAAATTCCTAATTGGCTTTCACACAAGGCTGGCCAGGCCTTGAGAGAACACCAAGAGGAAGGTTTCTCCTGCTATTGAAATAATCCTCTGCCTGGTTGTGAGAATCATCCCTATGTCAGCTTGGATTCAGGGCTCAGGATTCAGACCCCAGCACTTCAGGGTGCCAGAAACTCTACCTGTTGGTGGAACTTAATTTTCCCACCTTGTGCCCATGGGATTGCATCTCTCCCTGCCACACTGAATCATGCAACAGAGACATACCCTCATTTGACCAGACCCACATCTTCCTCTCCCAACCTCGCTGCTCACATATCCCCTGCACGTCAGCAATGGCCAGGCATAAGCAGCTTAGGATGCACGTGTCCCAGCTATGTGCCACCAACAGTACAACAGAAGTCTGATGTCTTAACTCCACTGACCCCCCTGAGTGCAAGGGGACTGAGGATGTGTAAGGAGGCAGCTCACTCTGGATACTGTTTATGCCCAGAAAGCTGTGAGAGCAGACTGCTCAAGCATGGCTGAATCTCTTTGCAGGTTACCTATCCTACCGTGCTTCCTTCACACTCATCTCTTGCACTCTCTGCTTTATCTGAAAGGATCAATCTGTTACCAGGACTCACCTTCTGCAGCACAGCTACTCCCTTCATTACACAGCCAAAATCTGGCATCTACCTAAGGGACAGCTTACAGGAAAGCGTGCATCCTTGATCTGAAAATTTCAGAAGGGAGAACCTACCACTCTTCTCAGTTTGCACTATAGTTACCACTCTGACATTGTTAAGAAAAACAGATTCTTCTTTTTAACTTGACTTCATTAGATCTTCTACTGTGTGGTCCTCAAAAGACCATTTCTGTGACTACATTTAGTGCCAGGCTGAATAGGAGAGAATGGCTTTCCTCTAAAAATAGGCTCCTTGTACCCAGCCCACTATGTGCTTCCACCTCTGGCCTAGAAAACATGACCATTGTCCTTGGCTCTTCTACTGACACTGCCACCAGCAGGGCCACCTATTATATTGTCTTTTCCTTTATAGGAAATAGATGGAAATAGATGTAATTAATAATGCTCAAAGATCCAGGAATATATATTTTTTTCATTTATTTTATCTCCTTCCCAGATGTAGAGACTTCAGTGAGCAATAGTCCAGGAAGAACCACAAGCTACAACCCTTTTGCTGGCAGGACCTGTTCTGTCAAACACATCACTTGGGCAACAAGGTGACAATGGTTTTTATTTGCCATTTGTTGATGTTTAAACAAGACAATCAGTCTGATGGCTGAAGGCTGCTCC